TACCTTAGGAACAATTGCGCATAGTAAATCCGCTCCTTTTCTATAGACCAATCGTCCCAAATATATGATAGTTGTGGGATTACCATAGAACTGCTCTGGATCCGGATAAAAGAACCTCGTTTCTATGGCATTCGGTATCGTAAATACCTTTCGAGGGTCAAGCTTCCCGCGGAGAACCGTATTCTCTTTGCTGAAGTTCCCAAAACTCGAATCAAGCTCAACTTGTTTCGAATATATAAAAGTAGCAACCTTGTATAGGAAACGCAAATTACTCTATCTACGTTTGTTAGAGAATATTGCAGCACGAGAGTATTTGTGAGTATAGCAGAAGCGTCGGCGAAACCAAACAAGGAATGATCAGTGAATACTGTATGAATACCCATTAGCCACCCATTAAACATTGCCTCATGAGCCATGGACGAAAACGTCTAGACTTAAAATTTGGATAAAATCATCTAAGCGGATTACGAGCGAGAATGAATCTTGGTAACTTACAGCATGCCCATGAATTATTTGGATTCTTTCTCGAAGAAAAATTTTTCTTAGCCATGGTAGACTACCAATAATCGTGGCAAGGCTACATCCATTGTATATAACCAAGAAAGGGAGGTAATATACCTAAAAAAAACGCGCAGCAGAATATACAATCTTGCTTAGATAAAAAAGAACATACCTTAAGTCCGTTCGATAGATAACGAATTCCTCTTCTGTCACCATAAGCGTGTGTAATTACAATAACCTGCTCAAAGGAAGATTTGGACGAAGAAATATTTTCCCCTACCTAATGTCAGAATAGTTATCTTTACAATATGACCCAAGACGTATTTGGTAGAATTTTATAAGGTTCGGTTTGAAAAAAAAACTTACTTTATGACCTAACCTCAATAAACATTGCCCCAGGAAGTAGATATGTGTCTCAACGCCTCCCGCATTTGGACAAAAAAAGTCCGACACCAGTCTAAATAACAACAATTACGGAATTCATTACGAGAGATAAGAATTGGTGAGTTTCTACCACGCAATTAGATCTTGCTCTAGACCACAGATAAAGAAAAAGACGAAAATTATGAGCAATGCAATATTGTTCCCAAACGGTTGTTTTCCAGAACTGTATGACAGACCCTTTACCTTAGTTATTTGAACATATGCTGACTAATTCGTACCCAGCAAATGCA